CCACACTTATCTAGTAGGAAAAGTTCATACACAGAGATCAATAGGGAGAAGAGAAATCAGTCCAATAATGAATTTCGAAGTATTTTAACACAAAGAAAGACTTTTCTAAGGCAGATTTGTAGTTGTTTTCAATGGTGATAAAAGTGCATCTCCTCTAAGAACAAAACCAGTGTTGTTGTTTTTTACATACATATATACTAATACAAACTTGTGATTCGTATTGAATATATCATGTTATAAAATGATATTCAATAAAATATTTTGATATCATTTGCTTTCTAAATCTAGAGCAACTATTCCAAGAATATACTTAGAAAATTGTCGAGTTTTCCTTTAACAAAAATCAAATCAAGCAACACTATTCGTTTCAAGTTTCCATTTTCTGATAAACATAATAAAAACACACATGCACTTACTTTAAATGAGACTATTACATGTAGCAAAAAATATCTGTCACAAAGATAAACTTCAGTCTTATTTTTTCAATAATATTGGACAAACTGATTGATACGGTACGGGTGAAAAGCAAAACCACTGTTATAAAACAATGACGATCATCCCTCTTACATATCTGGTGACAGGAAATGCACAGAAGCACTTATTTGCAGTTATGATAGTGAGCTTAATATAAAACTAGAAAATTAACTTATGTTAATTTTTGCTTACATATTAGAATAAATAATGAAGTAATCTTTAGAGAAAAACTGAAGGAAACTTATTAAGATATATTAGAGAGAAAAAAAAGTTTTACTAAAATAATTGTACTGAAAATGTGCTAAAATTAGGAAAAACATAACACGTTCTGGCTAAATAACATAAAGATGAAAAAAATATATACTTAGCGAATGCAAACAAGGGTCAAGTATAAAATGGTATCGAATACACATGCAACTCAGGTCTATTAAGAACATTTATGATTAGATAAGTAAACATTCCATCAGTACAATGCCAAAACTATAAAGCTGACATTTAAAAAAAATGGTGTTTTGGTTATGTTGGTTAGTACTGTACTTCACACCATTAACAGGAATTGTACTATACTATGTGACACTTCTAAGTGATGGAATAAACACACAGAAAGAATAAAATTTAGATACGACACCACATACACTGAGTATTTGTTCTCAGAGGAGGAGAAGAGCATTCACCAGTTAAAAAAAAACAAGCAAAGAAAAGAAGGAAACCAAAACCATTGTTTATAGTAGAAGTAGCGGAATCATATGAAGTGGCCTGTGATGGTAACTCGTTTTTGCCATCTCATACGTCAATTTCACATTGGTAACTCTGAGAAAAAAAAATAGTAGTTAGAAAATTTTAAGTAACACAGAACTATACACAAGTTGTTGGAACATGACTTCTGAATGTGAATTTTAAGTCACCTTTACATGTAGCTTTGATATCTAAAAACAAAGATGCCACCATTCATTGTCATTTTACTGAGTGCAAGAAACACTGCTACCAAAGTGAGCACAGTTATAATCTCTGTAAGAAGTGTCAAAAGAAAGATATTCAATTCAAATAAAATTATTTGACATGGTACAATAAAATCATGCACGTATAAAATACTAACATGAAAAAAATAAATATAAGCCAAACAACAACAAAAGAGTTTTCGATTCACGATTAGTACAAATGTACAAACCTGATGACGCTCGAGCAAGGCTTCTGCTCCAGTGACATCATTTGCTAGTTCATCTGAAGACACAAGACTCATCATACTTGTTATCCACGACATCAGGTCCCTAGCAGACAATGCAGAGAAAATTATAAAATATTTTTCTATGAAATGCTTTGAATACAGTGTTTCCAAAAATTACAAATAAAATACAAATTTATAAAAAATACAATCTGATAAACTCACCTATAATCTGCCAGGAATCTCTGTAAATCATACGAGTCCAATAGTTTTTCTTTACGTGCATTAGCTTTAGCAGTGAGTTGTGTCCATTCTTCATTGATCTCTTTTCGTTTAGCATCTATGGTGTCTGCCGATTCAGGGTGGGTTTGTATCAGTCGACTGGCTGTTTCATCTAGTTGTTTAATCTATACCAAACACATAAATAGTATGATACGTAACTAAGCCATGAAATAAAATCTTTTTTTTACAGTTACCTTAAGCTATTTAAAAAGGAAATGCTTGTCCCTAGCCACATTGTCTTGACACCAAATTTAGGAAATGTGCTGTCCACAGTAACACTATTCTTGATCATAATCATACCAAAATTTCAAATGTTCACTAAAATAAATGTTAAAAAGGATGTTTCAATACTTATGCAATAAATCAAAAGTTCTATGTACAACAACTTATTTAAATTTGTTGTATATACATATTAAATTTATAACGTAAAGTTTTGAAATTAGTTTTTACTAGATACTCTTAAGTAGTTCACTTTTTTGGTAAAATAATCATACATTGCAAGTCTAATTATGCTTAAAAATAACATAAAAAATGTTTATTCACAAATCAACCAAAAAATCTAGAAAGCAAAAAATAATAAAAAGTGTACTTATGGTGCCAAGACATTTCTTAAGTTTAAAAACTCATAGACGCTTTCATTAAAACAAAATTAAAGCTATATGAAAATGATTCTAAATGGATACATCAAATAAAGGAGACAACAAAAACAAAAAATTAGAAAATGAGAAAGGAAACTAAACACAAACATTTTTTACTGAATCAGTTACATGCCTGTTTAATTTCGACTTTTGTTTTACTGACAAAACCTCTTCCGGTTTTTAAATTACATACACCTCCTAGCACTGTAGATTCTTTCTCATTCATTTTGAATATTTCATATCAAAACAAGTTCTGCCTCAAGATTAAATTTTTTGAGCTACAGAATTATGCTCTGAAATTCAAGATCTGATATACGAAGTGCCCATAAAAGTATTCTATGTGAATAGATATAGTAATAAAAATAATTTTACCCTATCCCCCAATGCTGCTAAGTCACGCTCCAGGCCTTCATGCTTCCTCTGAAGGGTCTGTACACTGCGCAAGTCATGACCATAATCGTCGGTGTTTAAGGCCTCGTCTTTTTCTTGAATCCAATCTTTAGTCTCGTCAACATCACGTTGAAACCTCTGGACTTCATGAGCTGATCCAAGCTGAGTGGCTCGCTCAGATGTCAACAGCTGTAGGCTCTGCCATTGCTGGTTCAAGTCCTGAAACATTAAATATTAAATCTAACCTAAACTCTGCTATAGAAATATCCAGATAATAATTACCATTCACATCAGCAACTGACCTCAATAAACACATACAAATATTTCATAGGAGTCTCAACTCTTCAAAAACAAAACCTTCACCAGCGTAATTTTTTTAGTTAAATATTCACCAGATTTTCTCATTCTCAATACTTTATACATTTTTTAAACTGCACAAAAAAAACACTCACATCTACTTGAGTCTGGATTTTATCAGCAGCTTCAGTCTGACCTAAACTTATCAGCTGAGTAGCTATTTCATTCATCTCTGCTAAACGAATTTCATTTGATTTCAAGTCTGACTGGAAATCATCAAACTTCTTTTGAAGCACTTCTACTTGTTCGAGGTCTTCTCCGACTTCTTGAACTTGAGCAACTTGTTCCTAAAAAAGTATCAATACACAATACAAATATTTGCCTTCTTATGAAATTAAAACATCTTATCTTTCACCAACACTTTATTTTATTCTTTATTATCCTACGTGGATTTTTAGCGGAAATATTTATTACATATACAGATAAAAAAAAACATTACCACAAAAGAAAAAGAAACTCTGGATTTTTATAGTATACATGCAACAACCTTTGTATAAAAAAAAAACACAGAAATTAGCTATTATATTGCTTGTTCTTGAACCATTAATACAACACTTAATGCACTAGGAGCACATTTTAATAAATATTAGATCATGGAATTTTTATTTCATTATTCCTATGGTTTTTTAATATATATAACTTAAGTGGCAAAATGTTTATAATCATGCATTAACATTACATACAACCATGAATTTCATAGATCTTAAACATGATTCAAGCTAAGTCACACCTGAAAGTTATTCCATAAATAACACTAAAATCATGCGAGTTACTGAAATCAAAACTCTCCCACACCTTATCTTTGATCCACTGTCCTAGTTCTGCAGCTTCTCGTACTAACTGATAAGCTTTGCAGGTCTCTTCCAGCTTTTGATGGCGCTCCCAACCCAACGACAAAAGGTTCTCGTACTGAGCCTCAATCTGGGACTGACGAGCCGAGACACTGTTGGCATCTGCCAAATGCTGTTGACTGGACGACAGACCAGCTTCCATTTTTTTAACGTAAGCAGCTGGAACAAATCCTTGGCGATCATTAACTTCTACTTTCCACCAGTCCTACACCATACGAAATTACAAGAAAATTTCAAACACTTAAAATAATAAGTACTCCACTTTACCTAAATCCTAGAACTGAATATCAATCTGAAGATTGATCCTTTAAAAAAAGTTTTCATTTGACTTTCAGGACAGAAGATTTTGACTTAATAAAATTAAAATTATGTTCTAATGATTAGTAACTTAATATTGCTGAAACCAAGCTGTTAATATTATACATTTATCTCATGCTTATAATATCAGAGTTTAAAGAACTGTACAAACTGGCAAGCGACAGTGGAAAAATTTGTGAGTGTAGGTGTATTTAGAGTACACAATAAAATACATTTCAAGTAATTAGAAAAACACAATGCATATTTATTTTCGTATTTTAGGGATGCTACTAGCCAAGTTAACTCTTATGATACTACAAAAAAAAAAATAAGTGCAGGATACTGAAATGTATCTGTTCCAAGATAATGCATGGTATCTAAGATATTAAAGAAATAAGGCTTAAAATTGTCATCAAATTACATTTTTCTCCTGCATCTCACATTAACAAAATGCCATTCACAAACCTTGTTATTACTGTTAAGTAATGTGAGGACATCTCCTTTCTTCATAGATACTTCACGGGGACTCTTCTCCATGTAGTCGTACAGAGCCATAACAAACTCTTTTCCAGCTTGATCAATCACTGGAGTTTCTTGTTGCTTTTGAGTAAAAGTTCTTTATCAGCAGTATTGTTTAAAATGTTTAATATAAATATTATTATTTTTTAAAATTATATTTCAAAGATTATTACGCATTGTTAGCTTTTTATATGGATTTAGAACTAATCAAAATTTCCTAAGCTAATATTAATAATTCTTATCATAATCTGAGTAATTATAAAATACACAAATCTTTTAAACAAGTTTATTTGTGACTAGTGTGAAATAAGATGAAATGTTATTCCAAAGATTAGTTTATCCTCCAAGCAAGGATGATTAAAGATTAGTTTTATCCTCTAAGCAAGGATTATTAAGATTAGTTTTATCATCCAAGCAAGGATTATTAAGATTAGTTTTATCATCCAAGCAAGGATGATTAAGATTAGTTTATCCTCCAAGCAAGGATGATTAAGATTAGTTTATCCTCCAATTAAGATTAGTTTTATCCTCCAAGCAAGGATGATTAAGATTAGTTTTATCCTCCAAGCAAGGATGATTAAGATTAGTTTTATCCTCCAAGCAAGGATGATTAAGATTAGT